GTCCAGAAATCAAACGACATGTTACATTAGCTAAATCTGCTGCACAAGACCTCTCTAAAGTGTTCAAGAGCAAAGATGACAGTTTGAGGACTAAGATACGCCTGCCCCAAGCCGATGTATTTTCAATAGCTTCATATGCATGTGAAAGTTGGACAATGAATAAAGGAAGATTGTAGAGGAATTGATGCCTTTGAGTTAAGGTGTTGGAGAAAAATATTGAAAGTACCATGGACTCCCAGAACAACAAACAAATCTGTGTTCCAAGAAGTGCAGCCTGAATTCTCCTTCAAAGCCAAGATGGCAGGATTTCATCTCTTATATTTCGAACATATTATCAGGAGGGACCAGTCCTTGGAGAAGGACATCGTGTTTGGTAAAATGGAGGTTCAGTGAAAACAAGGAAAATCCTCAACAACCTGAATTGACACAGTCGCTGCCACAATGGGCTCAAACATAACAACAATTGTGAGCACAGTGAAGGACCAGATAGCGAAGGACCAGTTTTGTTGTTCATAACGCTGCTGTGCGTCGGAACCAACTGAACAGCACCTAACAACAAAGCCACCATCTCTTTGTCCAGTACACAGACAGTGCTGGATTCTATCTGGACCTTGGGATTCTGGGAAAGGCAGTGATTAAAGGCATTCCCTCAAATTGTATATTGTGAATAACCTCCCATCCCATATGACTTAAATAAGGTTCACCCAGGTCCCCTGGTTTAGCCACAAGGTCAGACTCAGACCCTCCATATTCCCATTCCTTGCTCATAAATGAGTAAGCAAATTGTTTGCCCGGACTGATCAATCAGAAACAAAATGCTTATTAACCAAACTTCTGGGTAAGCTTTCCCCCTTCCTCTAGGTCCCTGAACTTTGCTCTCCATGCATATTAGAGCCTACACCCTAACCCTCGTGGAGAACAGACCGGTTCAGCTAAAAATATCCTGATTTCGCTCTGTGATGTCACAGTGTCATCCCACTTCCCCACACCTGGGGTTTTCCTAACCTCAATTCAAACAAAGATGCTTTTCCCAAACTCCACCCACATCCAAACAGCCCTCTACCCACATACCTTATGGTCTGAGTATTCTCTCTGTTATAAAACAATTCCCTCCCCTATTGAATAATCTATCTCCTCCTTTTCTTTCTGGATGAAGCTTCTCCTTATCAAAGGCTGAAGTGGTTTTTATTTGACAATAGTCACCCTTGCCAAGACCTGGTCCCCCATTCAGGTTCAATGTGCAGTCCCAGAGTCTATAAGGATTGGCTGCTTTGTGGCCGGTACCCATTCTAGCCTTGCCTTCTGCTTAGGAGACCTACTCCAAGCATTAGTCTTCAGCGCTAAAAACCCAAGCACTGAAGAAGTTTTAGGGTGGGTTGTCTGCACGCCCAAACCCAGAATAGAGTCCAAAGAAGGAGCAGGCACAAGCCCCGGCGTTGTGTTTCCAGTTAACCCAGTTGGTTGCTAAACAAAAGGTTGAAGGTTCAAGTCCACCCACAGATATAGGTAGGCCAGGAGAGATCTACTTCTGAAAAGGCAGTGAAAGCCCTGTCGAGCACAGTTCTACTCTGGCACACATGGGAGTTGGCTTTATTGGTGGTTTTTACTGTGGAGTCCTGGTGTGGTGCTGTAAGGGTAAGCACTGACCCACAAGGAGACTGCTGTGAGTAAGAACCAGCACAAAGAAAACCAGTTTCTAGTTTACACACCTATTGTATATCATAAATATCCTACCCAATGCCATGGAGCTGATTCCTGCTCATAGCAACCTTGGGAAGGGTTTCCGAAGTTGTCCATCTTTACGGAAGCAGGAAGCCTCATCTTTCTCCCACAGAGTGGCTGGTGGGTTTGAACTGCTGACCTTGTGGTTAGCAGTCCAGTGCTTACCCTACAGCTCCACCATGGGTCTCTACCACAAATAAATTGTTGTTGAGTGCCACCGAGTCAGCTCCAATTCATAGCAACCCTGTACAGGGTTTCCAAGTTGGTGGATTTGAACCACTGACCTTGCAGTTAGTAGTCCAGTGTTTATCCTACAGTGCCCCCAGGGCTCTGTATCTTAAATATAGGTTTACATATGTCCAAGGAGTCCTGGTGTGGTGCTGGATAAGCATTTGACTGAAAGGTCAGTTTGAGCCACAAGGTCAGCAGTTCAAACTCACCAGAAGTTCCTTGGAAACCCTACCCAGCGTCGCTACGAGACAGAACTGACTTGATGGCATTTAACAGCAACAACAACCTATGCCCATAAGCATAAGTTTAGGACTAGGAAGCCACACTCTAGTTATACTTTTGACACACAGATCCTGTTTGTTGTTGTTGTTGTTATTGTTGTTGTTAAGTGCTGTCAAGTCAATATTGACTCATAGAGACCCTGTATAGGGTTTCCAAGGAGCAGCTGGCGAACTTGAACCACCAATCTTGCAGTTCAAACCAACCTTGCAGTCCAGCGCATTAACCCACAGTGCCACACAGGACGTATTAGCAGTGAGGTCATGAAGGAGAAAGGACCACAGACCCAGGGCCATTTCTGCTGACACTCAGAGAAAAGCAAATGAGTCAGGATGCTGGTTCCTAAAGAAATCAGCAGGAAAAGTTACAAATACCAACTGAGCTAGGTGTGACGGTCAGCTTAATACCTACTTCATTCATACTTCAGCAACCCATCACCTCTGTCACATGACCAGATTGTCAGCCCATCTGTCCGCCTTTGAACTGATTCATTAACTAGTTAAATTATCCAGTTAATTAACCTGAGATGGCAGAAGTCAACCTCCAAAGTGGGCATCTGGTAGCATAGTGGTTACGAATTGGGCTGCGATCCGCAAGGTCAGCAGTTCAAAACTACCAGCTGTTCCGTGGGAGAAAGATGAGGCTTTCTGCGCCCATAAAGATTAACAGCCTCGGAAACCCTGTGCAGGGTCACTATGAGTCAGAATAGACTTGACGGCACGTAACCACCACAGCATGGAGTCTGGTGTGGCGCTGTCAGCAGTTCAAATGCACCAGCTGCTCCTTAGAAACCCTATACAGAGTTGCTGAGTCAGAAGTGACTCGATGATACTCAACAACAACATGGAGTTCAGGGGTGGCACTGTGGGTTAATGCGCTGGACTGCAAGGTCTGTTTGAACTACAAGGTTCATGGTTCAAACTCTCCAGTCACTCCTCAGAAACCGTACACAGGGTCATTATGATTTGGAACTGGCTTGACAGCCCTTAACAGCAACAACAACATAGAGCCCTAGGATGGGGGTATAGGGTAAGCACTGGACTCCTAACCACAAGGTTAGTGTCTCAAACCCAGCAGCCACTCGTTGGAAACCCTCTACAAGGGCTCTATGAGTCGGAACCAACTGGACAGCACTTAACACCCACACGGTCGCATTTATCCATGAGTGGAGTCCATGTTTGATTCTGCACAAGAAGATTGTCACACCACCTGGGTTGGGGAGTGTCCCCCCATTTAGACTAAAGTGTGTGAAAAATACCCGGCAGTGGTATGGGGGTCAGGACCATGAGTGCTTGTCCCTGAGGTCAGTGCCACGCTGAGTACACATGACCACTGAGCAAACAGCCACAACCTGTCAGAGGACACAAACCAGCAGCCCTCACGCATGTAGGATCTGTTGGGGACACACCGTGCTCGGGGTTTTGGTTCTGGTTATTTTTAATTTGCGGTCATGACTAATACTGAAAGATCACGTGATTTCACAGAAGACCCAGGCATCTTGTCTCCCTTGTAAACGGGCAGAGCTGACCGTATCTGCTTACATTCCACCAAGCCACAGGCAGTTGGAACTAGGTAGTGGCTGTCCCCAGTGGTGATGGTTTTGCTAAGTGCCATCAAGTCGGTTTCGACCCATCATAACACTGTATAGGGTTTCCAGGGAGCGGATGGTGGGTTTGAACCACTGATTTTGCGGTTCACACAGACCTTGCATTCCAGCACATTAACCCACAGCACCACACCAGCACTCCACTGACAGGACAAACTCACCACAAGGCACATGCCCTAAAGCCTGATTCCCACCTTAAGGTTATCTACTTAAGCCCTGTCTTAAAAGAAGGCAAGACAGCAACGTGCTAAAGTGTGAGTGTGACAAGATTTGCCTTTCATACTTTGGACATGTAATTAAGAGGGACCAGTCCCTGGACATCATTGCTTGGTGACGTAGAGGACCAGCGAAAACCAAGAAGACAGAGACTTGAGTTAAAGGGTTGGCACAGTGGCTGCAGCAATGGGTTCAAACCCAGCCAGGATTGCGAGGCTGGCACAGGACTGGGCAGTGCGTGGGGTCGCTGTGAGTCAGAACCGACTCGATGACACCAAACAACAACAGCATCTGTCCCTGTGGTACTGGCATCTGTTAACCCCTTGTGGTAGATGGAATAATGGTCCCCAAAGAGAATGAGGTCCTATGTCCTGGACTGGGGGAATGTTACCATAGATGGCAAAAGGGGCCTGGCAGCTGTGCTTAGAGAAGGGTCCTGCAATACAGCTGTCATCAGAGAGGCAGAGAAAATGACAAAAGGACCAAGCAAGCTGAGTCTGAAGGAAGCAAGGCCTGATTCTCCCCGGGGCCTCCGGAGGGCACCAGCCCAGCCAACACCTTGGTCTAGTTCCATACACTCATTTCTTCACTTCTGAAACAGAGCCGGTTTCCATTTTAACCACTAAGTGTGTGGTGGTGTGATACAGCAGCTACAGAAAGGAATCTACTTGCTAATGGATGAATTCAACAAACACTCTGCATGCCCAGGTCACTGTGGACAACATTAGAGGGAGTGAGGAGATGGTCAGCGCCAGGCTAGCCTTCAGCCCCCAGGAGCCCGGGACACACTGTGGAGCTTTCAATCCAGGCCTGGAGTTTCCAAGGGGACAGTTGTTTCAGTTTATTCAGTGGAGACACACATGCCCCCATCTTTGCTGACCATGCCAGGGCTTTGAGGGAGAGCTGGGGCTAGGGGGCATGGAGGATGAGTGCTTTGGGCCCTTACCTGGCATGCTGGATGAACTGGGTGGCTTTCTCAGCATACTTCTGTGCCAGGCTGCTCAAGTTCACTGGCTGTTCAACAATGGTGAGATCTTCGTACAAAGGAAGGGCCACGTCTGTGTAACAGGCCCTCTCAGGATTCCTGAGTGGAAACCACACAAAGTAAGCTATTTATTTCCACACCCTAATGTAGGATCAGTACTGCAATGCTAACCACAAGGTTGGTGGTTCAAACCCACCAGCCGCTCCTGGGAAATCATATACAGAGTGGCTATGAGTCAGAACCCACTCGACGGCACTTCACAACAACAAACAGTGGTATACAGCAGAAGCCAAGTATTTTAATGCCACGATGCATATAAATAGAAAACACTTAACAGCCTGCTCCAAATGCTTGTTCGGATCTGCCATTTCCTCCAAGCGGAAAACCAACTGTGAAAGCTCCTTCCGTTCCCTTTCCATCACTGTTTATGCTCCGTGGACAAGCTGCCAGTTCCACAGAGCTGCCAAAACACTTCTCACAGACTTGAACGCTGGAGATGTTACTGCCCCCATTTTTCAGGGAGACAAACTGAGGTCTAAACAGGCTACACTCCTCAAGTCACATCTCCTAGCCAATCAGTGGACTCATCCCTGGTGTTTTCCACTGCCCTGTCTAAATGAGATGAAAAGGAGCCCTAGAGGCTCTGTAGGAGAAGCGCTGGCCTGCTAACTTCAAGGATGGCAGTTCAAACCCACCAGCTGTTCCTTGGGAGAAAGATGAGGCTATCTGCTCCTGTAAAGATTTACAGCTGTGGAAACCCCATCCAGGGCCACTGCGGGTCACATTTGTCTCAGTGGCAGGGGGGTTTGGTTTGGTGGATCTGTGGTGTCATCTACCAGCCACTCCAAGGAACAAAGATGGGGCAGTCTACTTCTGTAAAGATTTAGAGCCTTGGAAACATCATAGGGACAGTTCCTTTCTTGCCTTTGTTGTTAGTGTTGTTAAATGCCATCAAGTCAGTTCCGAGGACGCTGTTAAGTCAAATCAACTCAGTAGAAGTCTTTTGTTTTGTAAAAAAAACTTTTATGACATGTGGGATAAGCACTGGACTACTAACTGCAGCAGTTAAAGTCCACCAGCCACTGTGCGAGAGAAAGATGCAGCTTTCTGCTCCCGTAAATATTTACAGCCTCAGGAACCCTATATAGGGTCGCTATGAATCGGAACTGACTCGAGAGCACTTAACAGGATAGTTGGAAGGGGTCCTGGTGGTGACACATGGGTAAAATGCTCAACTGCTAACCAAAAGGTTATCAGTTCAAATCCACAGCCAGTCTGTGGGAGAATGATGTAGAAGTATACTTCCATAGGGAAGCCTTATGGGACAGTTCTACCCTGTCCTATATGGTCACTGCGAGTCGGCATCAGCTGGATGGCAGTCAGATCTCTGCTGTGCAACACTCAGCATTTTTCTAAATCAGCAACTAGTACTTCAGTTGGTGCTAAGTCTGTCAAAAGGACCCACTATATAAGATGGTCTAGGACAGCGTGGTGTCTCCATACAATAACCACAAAGTCTGCGGTTTGAGCCTGCCAGTTGCTCGGCAGGAAAAAGATGAGGCTTTCTGCTCCCATGAAGATTTAAAGTCTCGGAAATCCCATACAGGGTCACTCTGAGTCAGAACAATGCAGCAGCACTTAACTGAACAGGACAATTATAAAGGGTCCTGGTGGCGCATCTGTTAGACACTCAGCTGCTAATGGAAAGGTTGGTGGTTGGTACCCACTCTGAAGCTCTGAGGTATAAAGACCTGGCAAGCTGATACTGTACAGAGTAAGCCCAGGAAACTATATGGGGAAGCCCCACACTGTCACATTGCCATGGGGGGTTGCCAGGTGTCTGATGGCAACCATAGGACAAATTTAATTCCAAACCATGTTTGGAGGATTTGGAGAAACTCTAGCAACTGGAAAAACTGTGGGTTGAACCTCTTCTGGGAAAATCAACACAATCCTGGCTTTGCTGGTCTCAATGAATCTGACACATGGGTGTCCCATCAAAGGCTGAGGGAGCTTGGACAAGGTCACTGTGGTATCGTGAATGACCTAATGTCTCTTCTTAGTCATAGTCTGTAACTCCCACCAAACAACATCTTTGCCTTGCTGGGTCTGGGTGAGAGAAGGTGGGAGGAAACACTTACAGGATGACATGGTTCTGCTCTGGATGGTAACAGAATTCCTTGTAACTACAAAAACTTGGACTTCTAGCCTGGGTATCAAATGAGCCAGCTCAGAAGCAGGAGGGGATCTCACTACCATCAAAGAAGCAGAGTCAAGAGTGGAGTATGTCCTTTGGACCCCAAGACCTCTGAGCATCGAACCTCCTCGACACAGGGACAGAAAGCTGTGACACCGGAGGAGGGACAGAGGAGCAACAGAGCCAAGCGCCAGAGCACGAGACCGCAGCAGGCTGGGAGCAAGTAAAGCGGAGTGGCTTTGGGTAGGAGGTTTGCTTGCAGACGGGGGTGCCTCCAGGAACCTAAGTGAGGGAGTCAGGCTTGATGACCCACGGAGCTAGAGCTGAGGCTTATGGGTGGAGTGAGGTGCCTGTGGGCATTTATCAGTAGCTGACTGGAACAACAGTTCTTACCCTGAATTATAACCCGGTAACTTCCCGAATAAGAAGCTCTGGTAGCGTAGTGGTTACGAATCCGGCTGCGAACCGCAAGGTCAGCAGTTTGAAACTACCAGCTGTTCTGCGGGAGGAAGATGAGGCGTTCTGCTCCCGTAAAGATTTACAGCCTCGGAAACCCTTTTCAGGGTCTCTATGAAACAGACTCGACGGCACTTAACAACAACAACAACTTCCCTAATAAACCCCATAACTGTGACTATGGTGTCTGAATTCTGTGTGGTCATTGCAGTGGATTAGGGGACCCAGTTGAGTAGAGAGGACTATGGGTGCTTCATATTTTTTACAGTACCTAAGTTCTGATGTGGCACTACAGGATAGGCACTTGACCACAAGATCGGTTTAAACCACAACTTTGGTAGTTCAAACTCACCAGCTGCTCCTCAGAAACCCTATATAGGGTCGCTAAAAGTTGGAACCGACTTGCCAGCACTTAATAACAACAAGTTCTCAAAAAAGAGCTCTGGTAGCGTAGTGCTTATGAGTCAGGCTGCTAGCCTCAAGGTCAGCAATTTGAAACTACCAGCAGTTCCATGGAAGGAATATGAGGCTTTCTGCTCTTGTAAAGATTTACAGCCTCAGAAACCCTGTACAGGATCGCTATGAGTCTGAATCGACTCCATGGCACATAACCAACACCACCAAGTTCTCAGAGGGATTCCTGGTACAGCGCTGTAGGATAAGCACTGGACTGCCAACCCCAAGATTGGCAGTTCAAACCCACCAGCTGCTCCTTAGAAATCCCAAACAGTGTTGCTATGAATTGGAATAGAATAGACAGTACTTAACAACAGCTTTAATAAACTGTCAGCGCTGAAGTTTCCAAAGTATCATAGCATGGATGTGCCCACACCCTCTTCCAGTACAGGCGGACAAACAAGGTAATGATGGGTAGATGCTAGCATACATTATTGTTACTCTCTGTTGATTGTCATCAAGCCGGGCTCCAAGTCACAGTAACCCAGTGAACAAAGGAACGAAATACTGCCCAGTCCTGCGATAGCCCAAGGATTCGTTTTCAGATAGGACCATTGAGACCCATGATGTTTCATTGGCTGCTTTTCAGAAGTGGATTATGAGGCGTCTGTTCCTAGTCTGTTTTAGTCCGAAAACTCCGCTGACACAGTTCAGCATCATAGTCACACACAGGAAATCCAGGAAGTGAGAATTCCACCACCGAACCACAAATGCCTCTCAAGCATACACTGGTGCTCATTGAAAATCAGAGCCCTGGAGCCCTGGAGCCCTGGTGGCCCTGTAGGATAAGCACTGGACTGCTAACTGCAAGATCGGTGCAGCAGGAAGATGAGGCTTTCTGCTCCCATAAGGATTGATAGCCTCAGAAACCCTACACAGGGTCGCTAGGAGTTGGAATTGACTAGTTGGCAAAGGCCTGGGATTCTGGCTGGCAGAAAACCAGACGAGAAGCTGAGAAGCGAGGAGGAGAAAACAGGTAACAGTGGACCCCTCACAGCGGACTGTCACAAGTTCTGCAGGAATCAAAAGCTCAAAGCTCCAGTCACAGGTAAGCTCAAGGGCTAGAGCTCTCACTTAACGGCATGTGAGAGATAGGGGGATCGAAGCCTGCATTCTCCAGGTTGGTGTGCTCCCCTTCCCTCTCCTAATTCTTGGAGTCCTGGTGTGGCGCTGTGGGTTAATGCGCTGAACTGCAAAGTTGGTTTGAACTGAATGTTGGCAGTTCAAGCTTACCAGCTGCTCCTCAGAAACCCTATACAGCGTCACTATGAGTCAGAACTGACTTGATGGCACTTAACAAGAACTATAATAGGTGCTTGAGTGACAACAAGGACCGACTGGAATAGATGATTGCCAAGGATCTTGTGAAAAGAGAGAAAAGAGAGAAAGGACGATTCCTGAACTCACCAACAATGGCAAATCCTGTTACCTGTGTTGTCATTTTCAGCGTGTGGTTATTTCATGGCAACCCCACCACCATTTCAGTCTCTCCTTGTTGTTCCCTAAACCAACCCTTTCTCTTCGATTTGATTTTAATGTGGGTTTTCAAAGGGACTGGTCATACATCACTACGGTGATGTTTTGTCTTCAGCCCCAGAGGGCACTTCTCACATGGTACTGAGCCCTCCAATCCTCTGGGTGTCTTATTCAAATGCAGATTCTCAGGGGTGGAGCTAGAGACTCAGCATCTGTCACACCCCTCTCCTCCCTTCCCCACACAGCTCAGGAAAAGGCTTTGAGGACTTGGACTCTGGAAGAAAGAGGCCTGGGTTGGAAGCTCCATCCCACATCTTAACAATTCTGGAAGGAGCCCTGGTGGCACAACATTTAAGTGCTCGACTGCTCACCAAAAGGTTGGCAGTTCGAGCCCACTAGACCGTCCGTGGGAGAACGATGTGGCAGTGTGTGTCTGTAATGATTACAGTTAGGAAATCCTATGGGGCAGTTTTGTTCAGTCATGTGGAGTCTTCCAAGAATGGGAATTGACTCAACAGCGTGTAACAGCAACACTGGTTCCCGTGTGACGTGTAAAATAGAGTAAATACCTGCCTAACACAATGTGTTCTTGTCATTCTTGTGAATGACAAGAACACCGCGTGCTGGAACCTAACAGCATCTCAATAACGGACCATTTTATATTAACTAGTTTTTTGTTAATGAGTCAGCAGAGACTCACCTTCTCCAAGTGGTCTCCACACCTGTGGCCTCTCAGTGCTGGCCTTTCTGCACAAGAGGGGCACACGGCCACGTGGCTTTACGACATGAATCAGGCTGTGATGATGACTGTCCATAATGGTACTATATGGAACATGCAATGTGAGATCCAAAAATGAAAGCCCTTTAGTCCTTTCACTTAACAGAACCTTTGGTCACACTTTGACCTATTGTCTTTTCATCTCTCTTGATAATAAAGATATGGGGAGAGATGTAGTTAAGATCATACTGTCATTCCTGGTTTTGCCTGGTGTGGTGCTGTAGGACCAGCACTAGACTGCGAACTACAAAGTCAGAGGTTCAAGTCCACCAGCTACTCCTTGTAAACCCTATTCGGGATCACTGTGAGTTGAAACTGACTTGACGGTGCTTAACAACAATAACTATAGCATGAGGGAATGTGATGGCTGCATGTAGGATACACACTGGACTGTGAACCACAAGGTTGGCGGTTTGAGCCCAAAAGCCACTCTGTGAAAGAAAGATGAGCCTTTCTACTCCCACAAATATTTGCAGACTCAGAAACCCTATTCAGGGTTGCTACTCCACGGCACACCACCACCACCACCACCACCACGAGACCCATGGTACTTGTACATAGCCTAAGAGGCAATCATTTAAACAGAACAAGGGGATACTGAATATTTAAAATCAGGAAAGGTGCGTATCAGGGCAAATAATCTAAGAAGATGGATTGTATGAAGAAGAACATGGCATTGGATTGAGGAAGATTTAGCAACAACCTAAAATATGCAGATGATACAACTTCCTTTACTGGAAGCCCAGAGGACTTGGAATACTTACTGATGAAGATCAAAGACCACAGCCTTCAGTATGGATTGCTCCTCAATGTAAAGAAACCAAAAATCCTCATAAATAGACCAATAAATAATATCAAGATAATTGGAGAAAAGATTGAAGCTGTCAAACAAAGACTTCATTTTACTTGGATCCACAATCAACATTTATGGAAACAGCAGTCTAGAAATCAAACTGCATACTGCAATAGGCAAATCTGCTGCACAAGACCTTTTTTTTTAAGTATTCAAGAACAAAGAAGTCAGTTTGAGGACTAAGCCATGGCATTTTCAATAGCCTCATATGCACGTGAAAATTGGACAGTGAATAAGGAAGATCGTAGAAGAATTGGTACATTTGAGTTACGGTGTTGGAGAAGAATAGTTAAAGTACCATGAACTACCAGAATCTGTGTTGGAAGAAGTACATTCAGAATGCTCTTTAGAAGCCAGGCTATTCAGACCTCGTCTCTCATACTTCTGATTTATCATCAGGAGGGACCAGCCCTGGAGAAGGACATCATGCTTTGTAAAGTGGAGGGTCAGTGAAAAAGAGGCAGACCCCCAACGAGATGAGAGGGCACAGTGGCAGCAGCAATGGGCTCACATGTACCAGTTGAAAGGCTGGTGCAGGAGCGAGCAGGGTTTCATTCTGTTGTGCATCAGGTCCTATGAGTCAAACCGATAGGATGGCACTCAACAACAACAATAATTATAGCATATGAGTACCCATTCCATAGATTAGATTCTTACAGATAGCACTGCATTCCAGGCCAGCTTTCTCAGGAGGGGGTGAGCCTGGCAGGCAGCCGTGGGCCCTTTTCCTCTGTCCCTCCATATGTCCAGAGTCTGAGCCAGGTGAGTAGTCCAGGAGCAAAGTCAATATGCAGAGGAGGGGAGGGACCCACTGGTGTGAATCTTGGCAGTACTAGGCTCCCCCTGAGCTGAGCTAACCAGGGCAAGGGACCTGGAAAATTCCTGTAGAATTCCGCTGGCTTCCTCTGTGCTAACAGTTTGCTTGTGCTCAGTACAAACAACACATTTACATTTGCACAAAATACACACCTGCCTTACTTATTCTCTCATTTATTTATTTCTAAGGAGCTCTGGTAGAGTAGTGCTTATGAGTCAGGCTGCTGACCTCATGGTCAGCGGTTCAAAACCACCAGCAGTTCTGTGGGAGAAAAGATGAGACTTTCTGCTCCCGTAAAGATTTGTTGTTGTTAAGTGCCGTCGAGTCGGTTCCAACCCATAGCAACCCTGAACAGGGTTTCCGAGGTACAGCCTCAGAAACTCTATGAAGAGTCACTATGAGTCGGAACCGATTCCACGGCACATCACCACCACTTACTTCTGATGGACTGCCTTCTGAAGATGGCCATTTGTTCCAGAGCCCATAGCAAACGCCTTGAATAAACCAAAAAAGTTAAAAATAAACACAAACCTGTTGCAACAGGATTGACTCCTGGCAACCCCACATGTGTCCGAGTAGAACTGGACTCCACAGGGTTTTCAGCGGCAGAATTTTCTAAAGTAGATTACCAGGACTTTCTTCCAAGGAACCTCTGGGAGGACTCAAACCTCCAACCTTTCAGTTAGTAGCTGAGCACATAAACTCTTAGCACCACATCCTATTTCTTACCTTAATGGTCCACTTCGAGGTGGACAAGCTGGACAAGGAGGGTGGTTGTAGCCCGGATCATCAGTACAGCCCATATCATTGCTGTAGGGAATTCCAAAGTAGTGATCAAAACCTAGAAAAGAGGCAACCAGTTAGCACCTCATTTGGCTGCTGTATTCTCTACCTGCCTGCATGCTGACAGAAATTTAATTTCCTATGATTTAACACTACAGTGTTATAGAGTATGTAATTAAAGGAGGATTTTATTCAAATTCCTTTGTAACGTGCCATACATACACAAAAAAAATCGCACTTTTTTGGGTTCTCTGGCTGTGAGACTAGAGTTGCAAAACATCTCTTGAGTTAACCCAGACTGGCAGGAAGTGAAGTGAATGACATTTCCAGGGTGGTGAGTAAACAAATCGAGGATCTGGGGCAAATTGACTGCGTGCAAGAAACTTCAAGGGACACAAATAAATCAACCCTTTCCTCAACAGACTTGCCATCTGAAGGGGAAGTGAGGTGAATAGATTAATCCAGGAGGCTGATAGATAAAGCAGCCAGAGAGAGGAGCATTTTTGGAAGCCAGGACAGTGTTTCAGCCGAAGACAGGCACAATGCATTGTACTGCCATCTGCAGATACTGAGTCTTTACAAATGGAAGGCTTGGGGCAACCCTGCTTAGGGCAAATCTGCCGGTGCCATTTTTCCAACTGCATGTGCTTACTTCATTCTCTGTGTCACACGTTGGTCATTTTTACAATGTTTCAGACTATTTCATCAAACTATTGCACACTTCACAGACTAGCGTCTTTTGCATGGGGAAATAAAAAAGTTGGGGTGAAATTTCTTTGTTGTTATTACAGTGAATCTTTAATATCTCCAAGAGATACCTGTAATCTACAGACTTATGAAATAAACAGTATCATTATGAGTAATACACTCCCTTAAGTAACAATTACATGAGACCAAATGGTCAACAGTTACCCCAAA